GTGTGTCGGAGGGATGCAGGAGGTTTCAGGAGCATCCCTGGGGGTCCCCATCCTCCCGTTCCTCTTTGAGCGCTGGCGGGATGATAGTGATGAAGCAAAGCCTCACGATGGGGAGAGACACTGGGATAAGCCCCCCGGGATGCTGTCCGTGTGAACCGAGGGAGTTTTGGGGTGCGCTCTGCCGTGCGACCACTGCCTCTCCCCGCTGTCTTTTCGGTTTTGGGTGGGTGTTTGCAAAAAAACCTTTCAGCCGCATCCTGGCGTGCCCCAAGCCCGCGCCGGGGCAGCGTCACAGGCAGCTGCTCCTCTCTGCACCATGTGCCTGTCCCTGGGGACAGCCTGACACCCTCTGGGACCTGGGAAGGAGATGCCAGGACAATTTGTGGGGTAGTGAGGGATGGAAAATCGCCCTGATGAGATTTTTTGTAGGAAAGAGGAGGACCATGAAAACCCCTCTACGATGGGGTTGCCAGGAGCAGCATCTCTCTGGGCCTCCACCTGCCTCCATCTATCCCCCGGGCACCTTCTGTAATCTGAACAGCAGCATCTTCTCTTTTTCTTTTCAAAAGAAGAAAAGCACTCCCCCCAAAAAAAGGAAGACTCCCCCCTTTCCCCCGGTGGGACACCCACTCGAGGCTGGGTTGGGGGAGCAGCAGTGAAACCCTCCCTGCAGATGCAGCCAGCTCGCTGATGAGATAAAGGAGGAACGTTTTTCTTTCGATTATAGTAATCGTAGGTGTTACTTGTAATAACAGGAGATAAGATCTTTTGGAGAGAGTGAGGATGTTGTCTGGTTTTGGGTTGGTTTTTTTTTTTTTAAGTTTAAAGAAACTCGAGTTGCTGAGCGTTGGGAGATGTTTCGCTGAGGGTGAGATGGATGAGCGGAGCGGGGTGGATGCGGATGGCGCCCACGTGCCTATTTCTGACGGGAATGAAGCTTTCCTACCATCTACAACTAAACTTTATTTAAAATAGAGTTGTCCTTAGCTGGTCCTGGACAGGGTCTGCTCCCTGTTTCCCTCTGGCTAATTTGGTTTGAAATGGAAATGTAGCATCTTTCCCCCAACCCGTCTCATGGTGCTGGTGCTCTTCAGGTGGTGTTTGGTCCAAGGGTCCCAAGTTACCACCGGGTGCCAGTCCCAGCCTGCCTACAGGTTTGTTACAGCACAATTTTGACTGGTGATTAACAAGAGGAAAGATTTCCACAGCTCATTTCCCTTGTGCTCTTTGGATTATCAGGGTGGCAAAGGTATTCACTGTACCTGCCCTGCCTGCCTTCCAGGGCTCTTGGCTGCCAAGCTGGCCTTCCCGGAGGGAAATCCAGGAGCAGGGCTGGGAGGGAGGCAGTGGGGATGAGCACGATCCTTGGCCCTTCTTGTGATGCAGTGTCAGGATGAGGTGCCTCACTGAGGTGCCTGTGCAGAGCGGCTCAAAGGATGCTGGGGTGGAGGGTGGGGAAGAAAGAGAGATGGTTTTCTGCGGAAAAAAGGCTGCTGGGTTCCCCTGTGCACCCCGGCTGCTTCCCTGAGCCCCTCTTTGGGGATGGGGAGGTTCCAGGGGAATGAAACCCTTACCTGGCAGGGCTGAAATTACCCAAACCAAGCACTCGGCTCCACTGAGTTTCTCAGGCTGCTCCTTGGCTGTTTTTCTAAATTATTATTTATTTTTTTCAAGCTGACTTGTGTTGCTACACATCCTCCTTGGGGAATCACCTCTGCTTTAAGAGAGAAGCGTTGGTAGCGGTGTTTTCCCAGAGCTTGCTGGTGGGGAGGGCAGGGGATGCTGCCTTTAGGCTCTGGATCCATGCCGGAATCACTGCATCCTTCTCCCAACCCGGCATCCCATAGGGATAAGCCGGGATGGCGGAAACAAGCGCGGGCATGAGGTTGGGGCCGGTCTGGGTGACGGCGGGTGACACGCTCGGCAGGAACCGCTGGCTGTCACATGAGGCCACCGCAGGCAGCGGTGCCTTCGGGGGGCCGCTTGGCAGCGGCCCTGGCACTCGGTGCTCTTGGGGGTGTGTGGTTTCCTCCTCTTTGGAAAGCCTCAGCTTTGAGGCAGAAATTAGGTAACGATTAAAAAAAAATAAAATAATCAGGCTGCTGCTTAAAAGCCACACTCGGAAGGAAGAAGGTCTGCACCAAAATGTAGAAGGGGGCGTTAGGGGCTCTGCAAAGGGCAATTCCCGGTGCCGTTAACTGCCTCCCCCTGTAAAAGTGATAAGCAAATTTTTTGTGCTATATTTATAACAATGCCACTGTCTGATGTCATGAATGTCCACAGTCCAGGAAGGTAGAAAAGCAGGGACCAGCTGGAGCATGTTCCTCTTGGTGGGGTTTGCTGGGACAGTTTCCTCTTTAAAAGAGAAAAAAAATACTCTTTATAAAGGCTTGAAAGCCTGAAGGCAGGCTATAAATTTTGTATCCTCTCTGCATTTATAAAATATAAATGCTGGTGACACTCGTGAGCTGAAAGCCCAAACAACCAGCCTTCAGGATTGGAAAGATCCAGCTCTTACACAGAGTGGGAGGTGGTTTTTCCAGCCTCCAAATGGGCCGTGGTGCTGGGATGGACCCTTGGGCATCCAGGTGATGCTCCCCGGCATCCCAACCTGGCTCCAGTGGGCAAACGTCAGCCAGAGTTTTCTAGCTGGAGTCACATCTAGGATGAAACCTCCGTCCTGCTGCTTTTTGTCCTTTCGTTATTTTAAAATAGTGACGTTGGAGTGCCTGGCTGGTGGGAAGTGCTGACTCAGCGCTTTGGGGATGAGCTGCTCCTTGAGCAACACCCAGGGCCAGCTCTTTCTCGTCATCCCCACAGGGTGCTGGATGGGGGAATGGGGGACAGGGCTGAAAACACTGGCGATGGGGAATTCCCTCCACAGGGAAGCAGGGGTACCTCTTCTTAAAACAGCTTCCTCCAGATTTTAGCCAAATCCCTCTATGGACTGATGGAAGGGTATAGTTTATTCCCTATTTTCTTGGTCTGTGTTTCAGGCTGGTGGTATCTGGACCTTTTGATGAAATTTTTGCTCCACACCAGGTGTAAATTCAGAATTTGTCCAAAAATCATCTTGCAAACGGAGAGAGTTTGAGCTGGGGCCGTTTTGGGCACACCAGGTGTAAATTCAGAATTTGTCCAAAAATCAACTTGCAAACGAAGAGAGTTTGAGCTGGGGCCGTTTTGGGTGGCTGCATTCCCAGCTGATGCCTTCCGGTGCAGTGTCACCCAGCACTGCCCTCCCTTGGGTCCTGGCCACCTCCGTGGCAGTGTCATCAGGGTGGGTTTGGGTGCCATCTCGAGAGGCTTTTCTTCATCAACAGCCCCAGTGTTGGCTGGGAAGAAAACCAACCTGCCACGTGGGGCCCAGACTCTGCGGTGAGGGGCTTCGCTGGAAACCCCAGCACTCAGCTTTGGGTCCCCAAACTCTGTCCTTAGGCTGAGCATCTGAGCCTCTATTTCTCCTCTCTGATACCAAAAATAAAGTGACTTGTGATGTGTCCCTGCTCTGGGGGAAGGTGAAGGAGGTGGTGGCAGTGTGACGCCTTTTCCGGAGGGGTCCAGACATGGCTGCGGTGGAAATGGGGCCACGTTCGCACCCACTCTCTTCCTCCCCATGGTTCTGCCCCTTATCTTCTTCCTCCTCCCGTCTCTGCTGGCCTTGCCCCTCGTTTCAGTTCCTCCTTCCCAGAATATTTCAAGCTGCTGACAGCAGGGCTGGGAGCGGTGGCCGGTGATGGCCCTGAATCGTTACACTGAATTAACAAATACCTGGGTGGGTTTTGGGGTGCACGGGTGGGGGTGCCCTGCCTGCATCTGCGTGCCCCACTCCGTGTCCCCAGCCCGCTGTGACCCCAGCGCCCTGGCCCAAGAAAGCCTGGTTTGATGCTGGGGCTGGTGACTTCATCTCTTCCCGGGGGTCGAAGCGGCGAGAATAAAGCCGGGTTTGTTCCCCTCCCACGCACCAGAGCAGGATGCGACCCAGCACGGGGCCTCGGGGCGCTGCTGGGGGGGAGCACAGCACCCCGTGTCAGGGTGTCCCCCTGGGATTTAGGAGCGGGTGGGAGCGCCTGTGTTCCAGAGTGCCGATGGGTTTTATCCTGCAGGGAATAGATTTATTTTATTTCTTTTGGAGGCTGGGCCTGGGAAGCTCCCAGGGCTGGATGTTTCCACACGTGGGTCACCAGGCACCGTGGGAGAGTGGGGCTGCGGCTGAGTGGCCCCCAGTGCTGCTGGGGAGGGGACTGGGATGCTTGCCGAGGTGTGAGCATGGGACTCGGGGGAACTGCTCCTCGCTGGCTGGACCCCCTCACTGCTCCGTGCCTCAGTTTCCCTTCTTGGTGCTGCAGGGACCATGATCAGCTTTGCTGGCGGCCCCCAGAGGTGGGAGGAAGAGGCTTTGCAGGATGAGGCCGGGGCGATTTTGCAAAGCCAGAGGGGTTTGAAGCTTCTCCCTGCTGGTTCCCAGCTGGCCACCATGGTGCAGTAACTGCTCTGGGCTGGGGAATGGGCTTCAGCTGGTGCTGGAAGTCCTCTCTGCTCCCTTCCCACCCCCAGGCATCTCCATCCCTCTGTACTGTACTGTTTTTTTCCTTGGATTGTTGATGCAGATGCTGCGGTGGCCGTGCAGAAGGTAAAACCTCAGTGCTTAAGAAGCTGTATCCTTGCAAATACCTTATAATCTGGGTGAGCAGCTCCCTGCCAGCCTCGTCCCTGACTGCAGGGGGGGGCTGAGCGAACCCAGAGCTCCCACTTTCACATCGATTTGGGGCCATTTTGGAAGCAGCGTCTCAGACAGGGCCCCTTCCCTTCTTGGTGGTAGAAGCGATGCTCGCGTGGCCCAGGAGCCTCCTTTGTGGGGGAGCTGCTCCCTGTGCATTGTCCTTACACAACCCTACCTGCCGTGCCTGCTTCTCAGCTGTCCTTTCCCCTTCCAGGTCTCATGGTACCACGTGACGTGTCCCCCCTGTGAGATTTGCCCCCCCCAACCTCCTGAGAAGATGTCAGGGATGCAGGTAAGCACCGGGCAGGGAGGAGAGGCAGGGATGGAGCAGGCTCTGCAGCCATTCGGAGGCGGCCTCAGGGCTCACGAGGGACATGGGGACACTTGTCTCTGTCCCCCGGTGCTCCTGCAGAAGCTCAGCACTGCAGGGACCTGCGGTTTTGTGTGTGTGTGTGTGTGTGTCCCTCTCCATCCCTATCACAACAGAAAAGCACCATCTGAGCTCCCCTGGCTGCCCAAAATCCCCCGAACTGCTTCTGGTTTAAGTGAATCCTGTTTGGATTTACATCAGAGGGACAGGAGCCCCACGTGCCTTTAGTGGGGGTCCCTGTGGGTCAAGGGGGGCCGGGGGTGGGAGACGGGCCCAGCTGGGCTCTGACGCCCTCCCCCTCTCCCCGGCCAGGCCGTTTGGCCGTCCGGTACAGAATGTATCGCCAAGTACAACTTCCACGGTACCGCCGAGCAGGACCTGCCCTTCAGCAAAGGAGACGTCCTTACCATTGTTGCTGTCACCAAGGTAAGGCCATCGCCTCCCCACGGCCCCCCGGCGGCTGCTGACACACCCCTGTGCCAGGATTTTGAGAAGATGCCGGGAGCATCCCTGCATCCCGTGACACGGATGCGGGGTTTGCCGTGCTGGTGGGATCCCCTGGTCCCACTGGAAGTCCCTCAGAGCCAGCAGGGCAGGATTCAGGCCACATGTTTGGTTAATTAATTCCTGGCCTCGTTAGTTAAGGTTTCTCCAAAATGTAAGCCTCTCGAGTGCCTCCTGGGAGGTGGAGGAGGGAGGGGAGAGGCTCACAGTCCGGGAGCGATGCTGTGCTTAGTGCTGGGGGAGGAAAAAAGAGGGGCCCGTGGGTCAGAAGGCTCCGGGATGCCCAGCAGCCTGGGGGGCGGATAACAGTGACCCCAACAGGGCCACCAGCATTGGGATCTGCTGGCCCCAACACCGACCCTGCCCTCTGCGGCTGTCTCCTGCCCACCCCATCCTGCCTGCAGCCAGGCAGGGGGTGTCAGGGTGCTTGGGGACACACAGGCAGCTGCCTGGGGAAGGAGGGGCAGCGCTGACACCCACGAGGGCTCCTTTGGTGGGTCACTGCCACCCCCAGGGGCCACAGGCTCATCGTGACATCTCTGCTGTCCCCGCAGGATCCCAATTGGTACAAGGCGAAGAACAAGGTGGGCCGGGAGGGCATCATCCCTGCTAACTACGTGCAGAAGCGGGAAGGAGTGAAAGCTGGGATCAAGCTCAGCCTCATGCCGTGAGTATCCACCGGGGACTCTGCCGAGGCAAATCTGGGGGCAGCTGGCTTGGTCTGGAGCACCTCCACTGTGTCGGACCAAGGACCCTGTTGACTCCGTGTCCCAACAGAAGCAACATCACCTGCGGGCCTTAGCGACATTGAAGGGCAGAAGGGACAGGGGCTTTCCCAGCAGTGCTGATTTGGAACCCGTTGCCTCTGGGGAAGGCTCTGAGCACCTTTAGAGCTGCCTGCGATGCTGGGAAGATGATGAGTGGTTGGATCTCATTTCAAAATGGGTGTTTTACCCAAAGTTGTGGTTGTAAAGGCTGCTGTGAGGGGGGTTGCTATGGGGTCTGTGTAGGAGATAGGCAGACAGACAGATGGATAGATGGTTTTAATGTCCCTGCTGCATCCCAGAGCCACCAGTGACCCCCAGTCTGGAGGAGCCAGGGCTGCCATGAGGAGGAAGCCCCCAGGGGTGTGTGGAGGGGCTAATTCTTGGACTGGGGAGCAGGAAGGAGCTGTGTGGTGGGGTCGATGGGGCCAGCGAGGAGCACAGACAAGCTGGCCCCATGCAGGCAGGGCTGAAGGCTGTTCCACATCACCATCCCCCCCAAACACAGCCTCGTGGCGGTCCGGCCAGCACCTCCTCAGCCCTTGACCTGTCCTGTGTGCCCCGTTGCAGGTGGTTTCATGGGAAGATCACGCGGGAGCAGGCAGAGCGGCTGCTGTACCCACCCGAGACAGGGCTTTTCCTGGTGCGGGAGAGCACCAACTACCCCGGGGACTACACCCTGTGCGTCAGCTGCGAGGGGAAGGTGGAGCACTACCGCATTATCTACTCCTCCAGCAAGCTGAGCATCGACGAGGAGGTCTACTTCGAAAACCTTATGCAGCTGGTGGAGGTGAGATCTCACCTGGTGATGGGAGCTGCCACCGCTCCCGTCCCCCTCAGCCAGCCCTGGGGACTGTAGGTGTGAGCTTTGGGACACACGCATATGGGTCAGAGCTTGTGGGGCTGCAGGTGTGGAGCCCAGGAGATGGTGGGACCTTCTCTGCTGAGCCCAGGGGTCAGAGCTGCTGGGAACAGACCCCTGGGGCAATGAGGGGGGGATGGGAGGAGGCTACATGGACAGGGCAGGATGCACAGAGGACAGAGGGATCAGGCGGGGGGACAGGGACACCACCCCCCCACCCGAGCCCCCCACTGGGCCCATCCGTGGCCTCGTGCTGCCACCTGGTGGGATCCCCGAGCCCGGCATTGCCTTGGCAGGGACCCCCCACCCCAGGGTGTCATGCACACTGCTGCCTGTCCCCCGTGGCTGTGGTGGCCCGGCAGCAGGTCTGCCTCTCATCCCCGTCTTCCCCCAGCATTACACCACGGACGCGGATGGGCTCTGCACCCGCCTCATCAAACCCAAGGTGATGGAGGGGACGGTGGCAGCACAGGACGAGTTCTCCCGCAGTGAGTGACCGTGGCCCTTCCCCAGCTCCTGGGAACGCCCCCCAGCACCCCCTCACTCTCCCTTCTCCCCCGCGCAGGCGGCTGGGCCCTCAACATGAAGGACCTGAAGTTGCTGCAGATCATTGGCAAAGGGGAATTCGGAGGTGAGACCTGCGTCCCCAACGCTGTGGTGGCCCTAACGGTTGGGGGGGCTCCTCTGCCACCCCCCCAGGGTGATGGTGGGACCGCAGGAGGCTGGGATGCTTCCCCGTGCCTCCCACGTCCATTTCTCCTGGCTCGCAGATGTGATGCTGGGGGATTACCGGGGGAACAAAGTCGCCGTGAAGTGCATTAAAAACGATGCCACAGCGCAAGCCTTTCTGGCAGAGGCGTCCGTGATGACGTGAGTGTTACCAGAGGCGGGGACGATGCAAGGGAGGGGGCACCTCTGTCCGTAGATGCAGAGGCGGGTGGTCCCCGATGCCCTGCAGGGACCGTGGGAGCCCCCCCTTCTCCCCAAAACCCTGCTCTGAGCCCTCCCCCACTGCGCAGGCAGCTCCGACACAGCAACTTGGTGCAGCTCCTGGGGGTGATCGTGGAGGAGAAGAGTGGCCTTTACATCGTCACTGAGTACATGGCCAAGGTGAGACCCTCACCCCGGGCACCTTCCCCCTTCGCCCTCCTCCCCAGTACCCCCCAGGGTCCCAGGGCTTCACCCTAGCAGACCCAGCTGGGTTGTCCCAGCTTGGGTGACATCTCCCTGGGGCCGCTATGGTGTTTGGGGGTGGCATCGCTGGCTCTGAGAAAGCGACGTCATCCCTGGGTCGTGCCCCACGTGGGAGGGGGCAGCAGGTGGGTTGCTGACCCCGGTGGCACCATCTCTCTCCATCCCTCCAGGGCAGCTTAGTAGACTACCTGCGGTCACGCGGGCGGTCGGTCCTCGGTGCAGACTGCCTGCTGAAATTCTCCTTGTAAGTACGGCAGCGAGAGGCACCCAGGGTTGGCCATGCCCACCACCCTGACCTGCCCCCAGCGGCGTTTTGGGGCCACATCGCTAACCCCCTTCTCCCTCCCACCCCAACCAGAGATGTCTGTGAAGCCATGGAGTACCTGGAAGCCAACAACTTTGTCCACCGGGACCTGGCGGCGAGGAATGTCCTGGTCTCAGAGGACAACATCGCGAAGGTCAGCGATTTCGGCCTGACCAAGGAAGCCTCCTCCACGCAGGACACGGGGAAGCTGCCGGTGAAGTGGACGGCACCAGAAGCACTTAGAGAAAAGGTGGGTGGGAAAAGAGGAGGGTCTTGGGCTGTGGGGATGTGGTGGAGGCTGGAAAAAGGGGGCACATCCTGGGCTGCCCTAAATTTTTCATGCAGAGCTGGTGCTTGAGTCCTCGTTCCTGCTGTCTGGCCCCCAAAAAAGTCTGCCCTGAGGGTGGGGAAGATCTGCTGCCCACCCCCATCCCTGCCCGAGCCCCCTCACAGGGCTTCTGTCCCCTCTCTCCAGAAATTCTCCACCAAGTCGGATGTGTGGAGCTTCGGGATCCTCCTCTGGGAAATCTACTCCTTCGGGCGAGTGCCTTATCCGAGAATCGTAAGCGAGGACCACCCCCTCCCCTCGGGGCTGCTTTGGGGGGGACTGAACCCCTGTTTGTTGGGGGAAACCCACGCACCCCCATCCTGAAACCCCTCCCCTGTACCCCCAGCCCCTGAAGGACGTGGTACCCCGCGTGGAGAAGGGCTATAAGATGGATGCTCCCGACGGTTGTCCCGCCGTCGTCTACGAGGTGATGAAGAAGTGCTGGACCCTGGACCCCGGGCACCGGCCGTCCTTCCACCAGCTCCGCGAACAGCTAGTGCATATCAAAGAGAAGGAGCTCTACCTGTGAGGGGGGGGCTCGCCCACCCCGGCAGCCGGAGGGGACCCATGCTGGGGGGGGAACCGGG